TAGTTCCTTGTCACATTAGATATTCTTTTTGTATCTTCTAATCCTTCTAAACATATTTAACTCCAGATTGTCCTTTGAAATCAATTTCGACTTTCATAGCATCAATCTTAGTTATTGTTGCACAAATATTTTCTACTAATATCCGGTTTCACTCTGTATACTATTACATAAATCTAAATGTATTCATCTGAGTGCATTAAAGGATTTTTACTTTATTTTTCTCAATTGTTGGTTTCCTTCTGAGGTTGATATTCATTACACAATTATTATTTTTATCATGGATGAATCTTTTCACTAGGTGTTCACTTCTTTTCTTTCTCTTCTTTCCCTCTAAATAAATATTATTCTTAAGATTACGAAGTTTGTAATTAAAACAATAACTTGTGTTACACTTTAATTAACTTCTCAGATTCGTTTCATCTTCACTATGCATATATGACTACTCATACATAGTGATATTTTATTATACTTTTCACTTAATTGTGACTTTCATAGCATCACTCTAAATTATAACTGCACAAACATTTATTCTAGTGTCATATCTTACTACATTGATAAATTATTTTTTCTTACTAATTTAACGATACACACATAGTCGTTTATTCTTGTTTTGTGTTCATAAACACCCCTATTAGACTGTTTGCGTATTTCACGTCTCCTTTATTTCTATTCCCTTATTTTCTCCATTTCCTTCTTTGAACTCAATTCAATATTCTTCTCAATTACAAAGACCCCATTTATTATTATTAATATTCTACTATTATTATTCTCAATTTTTTATTTTATTATTATTATTATTATTATTATTATTATTTTTTTTAAATATGGCAAGTATAATGCTAACATTATTGAAAATTGTGTATTATTGCATTTTCTGAAGAAACCCGAAATGGTTTCTTCACAACACTTATGTACCCATAAGATGTTTGTGAATAATAATAATAATAATTGTTCTGTCTAAATGTACAAAATCTGTGAATAAATTGTTGAAGCTATTAGGAAACGGTCACATTGAGCAAATCAGCAGTTCGCGCAACCAACATTAACAGGCTAAATCCCAAGAATAAGAAGTGGACAAGGATAACGAGTAGTAGCGAACACAAGTGGGTTGAAGTAATTTTATTCATAGTATTGATAATCATAGGAATAATAGTGATAGTAACGATAGGAAGTATATATGCATCAGGTAAGGCTGGTGAAAAGTTAGGAACTCAAGACACGGATGAGTGCTTATTTTTCGTGTCTGATCTGTAATACTGTTCAATTAGAGGGACACACTCTTGTCGTCAATGTAGTAGTTCAGGTGAAACACACGAGTGATAAGAAAAAGCATGACATTACCTGGACATTAGCTCCGGAATGCCACATTCGTTGTGGGTTACTTAGTGGAGTGAATCCTTGAGGTTCAGGAAGCTTGGTTTCTGTTGGGTGACCACGAATGTTTGTTGTATTGTATCCAATCAACGAATTGTCTCGTATTCTCCTGTGATTTGACAACAACGATCATAGGCGGCTTAGGCGGTCTTCGTAAAGTTTGTCCCTCAATCCAGTAACTTCTGAATAGGACGATTATGTTTGTGTTATAAGAGATTCATGTATCTAAAAGTCGGAGATTCGTCAGACGAATGCTTAGATGTGATCCAGTAAAGCCTAGAACCACCCTGATTTTAGGACAACTTAGCCCACAATATTGTCAACGACCATGACATAAAGGTGACGCAAGCGCCGAGGTCAACGCCGTATGTCAACCCTTGCAAAATCTTTGACAGGATATTGAGTACGAATGTGACACAATGTCTCAGAATCCTAAGTCGATGATGGAGGGATGATAGAGCATGGTTCGCGGTGTCAGGTCCCCTTTGATTCTACGTTGGGTCTGGTGAAATTGTGCTTCAACAGAGCAAACTCTAACTCTGGGGCACAGAGATCGGATTCTAAATGCCGGGATTTAATAGTTACAACGGCGTCCACTTCTACAGATGAAAAAATGTGCTTATTATTAGTGACCTTTTTCCGTGTTGAATCTGACGTTTGGTGACATTTTCGGTTTCAGACTGTTTGGGTTTAGTATTTGGGAAATTGTGCTCCGACAATCTAAAAATCGAAGATTTATTGTATGACTGTTATAATAATTATAACAGAAATTTTTGTGGGTTGATGTAATTTACAAATAAATCATGTTATCTAGACTGGAATAATGTTCTCTCGATATTTTGGTGGCAAATTACGAACGTGCCGACTGATCATGATTCATTGACAGACTAGAGCAATAACACAAACGTTCCTTAACTTTGTTTTGTGAATTTTCTGAATCACGGACTTTGAAAGTTCATTTTGGATCAACCTTTTTGGTTATACCTGTTGATTTCTTCGGAATTTTTTTCACGTTTGTATGAAAGAACTGTCTTTTTGGGACAAAGCTGATAAAAACGAGGATCAAAAGAGAATACAGCATTGTAAGGTGAGCTTCCCGAAGCTAGTCGAAAACCGTTAGATTTGAGTGGGTTAAACTCATTACACTAGTGACCAGAGCATTGGTTTTGCTAGGATTAGTTCTGCCAGGTTCAGTTTAAGTAAGGCATTACTCAAGAAGAAACAACTAGAAAATTGGCTCGAATTGAAAAAAAAGTTCAAGATAGTGGAGATACAAGATGTGTTTTCGAAAATGAACATTTATAACAAGCAGACAGGAAGAGACGACGAATTCTATGTTACTTATGTTGTAAAAGGGTTGTAACAACCTGATTTGGGAGACCAAGAGTTGATCGAAAACATCTTGGCAATGTCAAAACATTACAGCTCAACTATTCCTTTACGTCCTTATTTGGTGCAAGCATTATATATCCTACTATCCTATGTTGAATTTTGGGGGTTTTGCGTGTTTCGAATGATAATCTCACTCTCCGAATGTTGTGTTTTACGATCTGGATAGAAACTTGCTAAAACTACCAGTCTGGATTTCTTCAGAGCCGAGAATAAAAAGTAATTATTAGCAAGAAAGGCTTTCGGAGTTTGATATTTTCCTTTACTACACGACGCAAAGAACTTGTAAGGTTCAACCACTCAAAAGCAAACATTCAATAGTTCAAAAGGAGAAAGTCGAAATTGTTATACCTATAAAGAATTGCTATATTATTTTCATCTTGACGGCAGGTTACTTGTTGACTCGAAATAGCTTACCTCTGGAAGCTAAATGCGGAGAAAGCGGAAGTAGCATTTGCTTTTATTGCATCTCCCTGATGTTTACTATTAGTATCTAGGCTACTGTTCGCAAAAGTACTAAATCGTGTTCCACCTATGCTGTTACAAGTTCCTGTGGGAGCGATGACTACAGAAGAATTATCCGACTCGAGTCTCCACTGTAGTTCACAACACTGTTAGTTGAGGTGTTCAGAAACTAAATAATGAACAGTTCTAGCAAATTCATTTTTCCAGCTTTGCTAGATCTCTTTAGGGTTGTCTTGAACCAGCTTTTCATTTGACGACCCTCAACTGGTTGTTATTGTCAGCACAGCTATGAAACGAAGAATCAATAGTATGATCGATGATGAGTAAGTAATCTTGTACTTGCCGTTTGCATGATAAGGAAAAAAGTTTACTTCCCATTTTTTCATGATTCATACTGGATACTGTGATTTTTAACCAGCTGTTAGGTCAGATATGTCCTGAAGTGTTCACCTATCCTGTTTTTTCGAAAGTCTCACTGAAGCTTATCATAATCTTTGAAAAAGGTCGGTGTCAAAATTTAAAAGGTCAATCCTGAAGAACTTTAAAGAGACGGCATTAATCTTCAAAGAACAAATTATTTGCTCTGATAGCCGATTCAACAACTAAGACTTTAACCGGTCAATTAATGGTGACTGAAGAGCTAACTGTTTGATCACATGCAGGTCAATGTGACATTCATCAATTTCAGCGAATCATCTGATAAAATATCTCAATTGGAACTGATGCAGAACCTTCAAACCTTTGTAATAAAATATAAAGTGCAAGATTTGAAAAAAACATTCAATTCTTATAAAGTCTAGATATATTACGTCTGTTAAATTATGGTCTCATTCGGCATTAGTACTACTCTAATAAAAGACTCATACTCAAAATTTTTGATTTGTAATGGCGTAAATGCCTGATTTATAAGATCTTACGTGTAGGTCACGTCATTGTTTAAGCTTGTTAGTCGTACTATCACAGTGAGCAATAGGATGTATAGTACCTAGGAATAACACATTTTAGCCAGAGATAAAATAATGTTTGTTCTCTCCTAGAGTAAGCTGTTACTGATGGTATCCGACCGACAGATATTCATTATCTTGCGTGAAAATTTTTTTAGAACTACCTCAACATTCTTGATGACGATTGTTATAGTTCTTCAAGTTTCAGCTCCTTACAGTAGAACGGACTTGACGTTCGTATTGAAGATACCTCATTTTGATATTTGTTGACAAGTGTTTTGAGTTCTACATGTTCTTCATTTGCAACAATTCGGTCTTTGATTTGCCTTTACACCTACATCAGATTATTTTTGTTCATCGATGATGCTGTCCAGATATGTGAATATAAAATATGCAATTGCACAAATGACTATTAAAATGTCTGTAATTTGTGCGGTTGAGTTGTCAAATGCTGGAATTCGCTGCCGGCAGAGCTCGTCCAAGAGCCTTCCCAGGAGTCCTTTAAGAGGCTATTTGATCTATTCTTAAGGACTTAGGATAGTATCGCACTAGAATTTATCAATTTCTTTTCCTGTTTTATTGTCAACATATCTAGGTTCCTGCCTGGAGGATTTGGTGATCCCCTGCTACTGGACACGGAAGCCTGTTAAGCGAAAGCTTCTATTCCGTCCACAACCATTTGAACCATTTGAGTCGCTATACTAGCACATCTTAGGCATCACCGAAAACCTGGAGACGTATTGTTATAACGATGAGCGAGTGCAAATAAACCAATCGATTTACACAAACTTAAGATGAATATATGGGATATAGTTTATTGAAGAGTAATTACGAAGGCGGCATTTACGCCTTGTGTTGTTACATCACATTGGTGTTGTATGTCTTGAAAATTACTAGATTGTACTCACTATCTTTTTATTGAGCATAACTTTTCAACCCTTAATCGTAAATATTCTCGTACATCTCTTGGAAAAAGATACTTCCTGTCTGTAGTTATTTTTTTTGTTACGGCTCAACCAACCGAAGAAGGCAAAATTAGAGGAAACTAAGACCTTAAAAAAAGACATTCTGTAAGAAAATAAGAGGCAAATCTAAAGAAATAGAGCCAAAAACTCTCGTCTCACCAGGAAGAAAATAGTGCGAAATTCCACTTTGTGTCATTTTGCGTTTGAAATGTCGCTGAACGGTCTACTTTTTGTCTAAATACACGTCTAATTTTCTACTTTTTTCATCTGTTTGCATAGGCTTCATTTACAATTTTACTCATTTGGCCTTAAATTCTTTCTATGTTTGACTTCATATCTATCACAAAACAAGCGTCTAGACACAATCGAATAGGATAAAAACAACACATCGTTTTGACCGGAATTAACATCAGAGTTTACAAGGAGTTTAAACTCAAATATATTCTTGTCATTCATCTTCGTTTGAAGTGTATTTCTTTTGCGTTGATGATGATTTCCAAAGAAATTTATAGGTAGTGGGTTATTCACTAATAATGTGTCCTAATTGTTGAGCGCATATGAACTCAGATATGTTCGCATTTCATGCACATAATTCGTCTCAGCGTGGTAGTGGGAAGGCATGTCCATAGTAGCTTAGCAGAATCATGCCCAAAGAACCAGTGAGACTATAATTTATGGACGGCCTTTGTGCAACGCTAAAGTGGTCTCGAGAATATCCACCTACTGATTAGGGCTAAATGAGGGTTTTAAACCTATGTGAAGGATATGAGTTGGTATTCACAGTTAATGGTAAGGGATAGGGATAAGATTTATGTTTTTCGTCACGAACCAACATCATCTAAAATACCAAGATGCTAATTAGGCAAATGGATAAAGAATTTCGCTTCGAAATCCAAGACCTGTTGTAAATTTGATTGGTTTGTCCATAAATTTTAGTCTCGCCAATTAACCTTCATTTTTGTTAAATATTGTCACGTTTGAAAGAGTGCTTTATATGCGCACAATGCTATGGAGTTCTGCTAAATGAACAAGATCGTATCTAGGTAATTTGCATTGGTACACTAAAAATCTCATAATGTGCAGAACTGAGTTTTTACCTTCGAACGACATTGATATTTTAATCTGTTTAGTTAATCAAGAGACAGCAAAAGTCGATAAAATATTCATTATATTCAGACTTGGATTCGGGGTATGTACATTGGAATTTTTACATTATAGCTGTGGTTTTATGGGTTGACTTACCTTAAAATGAAAATATAACAAAGTAGGCTAAAAATTGTCTCTTGGTATTCCACCCATCATAACTAAGTCATCCTTTAGTCGATGCTGGGATAATGCTTCAAGACAACTTTCGAAACTGTCCAGTGTTAGTTAAGTTAAATATCTCAAAAATTGCACAACTACCGATTCTATGAACACATTCCAAGAGACACGAGTTGCTTTTCACACAGATGATCTCCCGAATTATGTTTATCTAGTCATGGTTTTTTGAATTTTCAATGAAATTCACAAAACTAGATTTCAGGGAATTTGGTTCAGTATTTTTTAGTATCTAAGTCACTTTTATAAGTTTTAAAAGCTTATGTGGGATTACTTGGATTGAAAAATAAAAAGGAAATTGCACGATCATTAGAAGCCTATTCACCATCACACCATAAACGTATTTAAGTATCTAAATTATTTGCAAATACTTTATGAAATAATTGTCTTATTAGTATCAGAAGGGGTTTTGTTGATATCATAGTAAATTTAGTAGTTGAGATCATGAGTCTATTGAAGCTAGACCACTATAGAAAACCTGGAAGCACTGAACGGCCGTTTCGTCCTATTGTGGGACTTTCTTCCTTTACTATATCCTTCCTTATATGCAATCTATCTTTTATATATTACCACCATTAAATTAACTACTTCTATGAATCCGGTGTTCATCTTGTTGTGCTAATGAGGTGTGGCAAGTTGGACCGATGCATATATGTGCCTGGTCCTACGTTATAGCTGACTGTAGGGCTCCTCTGCTGAGTTATGTTATTCGAAATTATTTGAACTATTTAAAATGATCTTCGTTCATTTACAGTTTACACATCCCTATGCTAACTAATAGAAACGAAAATCTTAAGAGATTGTTGTATAATGTAACCTGAATAAGATTATGGTGAGACCTTCGAATTCGTTGTTTAGTGTCTACTACACTTGTATCTTATATACTATAATCTTGTCTTAAACGTATGAAACCAAAATACTTGCGATCGTTAATTCTTCTTACCTGATTTTCGTAAATTAGGAATTATTTCTACTTATATAAAAAACTGTTCATTATAAAACGGTTGATTCATTTTCAGAATTTGATCTATTCGAATGTGTTAAAAAGAAATATATCATCATGTTCAAGTCAACCAATTTTCTGTTAAGATTTCCAACTATTCAAAGTTTACTCAATTCTTCGGAATGTACAAAAGATATATGTGAGTCTTCTTGTTTAGTTTTTCTTATATAGAATCTTTCTGTTTAGGTAGTTCCTCATCTTTGAATCGATGGTACTTAAGTTATTTACGTGGAACTCGTGTTCTGAAACCACCTAAAAATCCATTTGTTTATGATAGAGATTGTAAGTCATCTTTTTTCTTCTTAATTCTTATTACTTTGTTATTTAAAAAAAAATAATAAAGGGGAAAATGAACCATACAAACCGAAAGCTAAAAATGAATATCTTCTATCTGTCAAATCTTTAAAAGATTTTCAAAGGTTCTCTCTCTATTTAACACTTTTCTTAATCAATATATTCTAATTAAAGTTTAGATGAACGCTGTAAAAACATGTTTACCTATAGTTTTGTTTATAAAGTAAATTGTATATTTTCTTTATTCAACGAATTTCCTATTAATATCTCTTCATAGAGACAAGAATTTCAAGAAAATCTTAATGAAATATTAAAAGAATTAGGTTTTGAACCTACAGATGATTCATTAGCTGCAAAAAGTAATTGAGAAATACATAAATATCATTCTCTATTCAACTTTAGTTGTTCGAATGACATTAGAATTACGTTATAAAAAATGGCGTTTAAAAGAACATCCACGTGTAAGATTCTAATGATGATGATTTTTTTCTTTTATATTCATTGTATTTACTTTATATTTATAGTGTATCACATTGAAACTTGCAACTAAATGTCTTATGAATGCTCGACAACGTACTTTAAGATTGTTACGTGCTACAAATTTATCTGAATTTCATAGAATTACATCTGCTTTAAAATTTGTTCATTATGAACATGTGGATCCTTATCGATTATATACCGATGATCCAATGGTTCAACGTAAAAATTCTTTTCGAAATGAATGTTATCAGGTAAGATATTCAGATGAATTAGATATTTATTAAATTGTCAGTTTGATTTTATATTTCTGGCTAACGTATTTTTAGTGAACTAGTTTTCTACGGGATGAGGTCGCTAACTCCCATGCCCAAATTTCCTCCTTTATCTGGGCTTGGGACCAGCAGTAGCCCCAGAGGGACTTCAGGCAGTGTTTTGATTTTACATAACTAACTTAAATATCTATTTCAAAATATCCTTTCACACCGAATATAATTCTATGGTAAATAGTAATTTAGCAAATTTGAAGTCCTTCCCTTGAATATAGACACATGTGTTTGACGTGTGGTTCTCAGTATACTTATGTTTTGACTATGGCTTTTCGGTTTCACATCATTGTTTAAACCGTTATATTGTTGTTTCAAAAATCTCATCCTCACCGGCGTTATATGGAATAATCAAAAATTACTACTCATAAATGTGTACTACTAAATCAATATAACGAGTTTGCATTCAGACATTAAGATCGACGTTTTTTGGCCATATCATTAGAAGACACTCTAAAATTCTATAAAAACTAAGGTCTAGTGAAAGACCATTGTATCTAGATTCATAGGTTCAGTCCATTTATATCTTGACCACAGTTGACGACTGCTCCGTAATAAAATTGAGCAAAGCTTGCGTAAAGACCGAGAAACCTGGTGGTCGGAGCTTGCTAATGAGTTAGAAGCAGCAGCTGCATCTGGTAACTGCCGGAAGCTCTTTCAACTCATCCGAGCCACTGGCAGCAATAACTATGATGTGAGTTAAACAATCTGTAAAGATGACGGGATGCCAATCACTAACATCTATCGACGTCTTGGACGATGGGCAGTGCGACTGGTCTGCTGCCCCAGCAACATCGATTAGACAGTCCTCCTCTTCATGGCCTGTGACGACTGATCCACCAAATGAGCAGAAAGTTCAGAAGAAACTCCAACCCTTGAAGCGCTACAAAACACCGGGCCCAGATGACTTATTTCCAGCCTTTTTTAAAGATGGTGGTGAATTTCTGGTTAAGAAACTAACTACGTTGTTTACAAAGGTCTGGGAGTTAGAGAGTGTTCCAACATCACGGAATGAGTCGATAGTTGTCCCTATCTTTAAAAAGGGTTTACATCTTTTCTGTAATAACTATCGGGGGATAAGTTTACTTCCGATTGCTTCCAAACTATTGGCTTCCGTTATACTTCGTAGATTATTCAAAACTCGAGAAAGATTGACTCGCAAGGAGTAGGCTGGTTTTCGTTCTGGTCGAGGATGTATTGATCATATCTTCACCTTCCGCCAAATGATAGAACACTATCATACTTATTACAGGCCAACAATCGTAGTGTTTCTTGACATCGGGGCTGCTTTCGATTCGTTAGACAGGACTGTTCTTTGAAATTGTCTATTGAAGAAAGGTGTGCCTGAGAAGTTTATTAACATTTTAAAGGCCCTATATACAAACACCTCAGATAAACTGAGGGCATACAACCATCTCTCTAAATTGTTTCATCCACTCGACTTCAGTGGCTTGTACATATTCTACAAATGTCGTTTCAAAGAATTCCACGTCGTGTATTATTTCTCGACTCTGGGAGTGGTTGCAAAAAGCGGAGAGGTGGTCAGTGTATGACATATTGTCGTGGTATAAAAGAAAGTTATACGGGACTGGCTTCTGTTGATCCTTCAAAACTCCCTGGTTAGGGTCCTAGAGATGGTGCAACACAGTGGCTAGAGACGTTATCAGTTATGGCTCAGAATAGATATCAGTGGCGATCATCCTGTAACTTTCTTCATAAAAAATGGACATAACTTCTTTAACTAGAAGAATTTTTTCTGGTTTTACCTTTCATTATCATATACTAATTTCTGTGCGTTATTGTTCCCTTTTTTCTTATAATCACTTTACATTTTCTATCTCTTCACATTCTCGTTGTTATTGTGTGGCGCATATGTATCTAGTGCCGCCCCTCTTGCACCAATATTTCTGTGCTCAAATAAATAAATAGATTTATATATGTACAGGGATCGATTCATTGTGTTCACATATATTAACTATCAGTTACATCGGATAACACAAAGGTTTTATTATATGAAACATCTTTTATTCTCATCTTAGTTTTTAATTATACCATTGTTATGATTTTATGTCCGGCTTTTTATCCCGTGATTTATCCACCAATCAAAATACGACTTATACAATCTTAACACTATGTCAAACCAATGACGTTCGACCGGTATGAGCAGCCTAGCGTCCTTATTGGTCCTATGTCCGCTTGAGTCCAGAACACCGATACCAGCTTCTGCAATATAAACCGAATCATTTATTTCAGACATACTGTGTTTATATATCAAACGACCAGACAGCAAGGCACCATAAATTAGGAAATAACATTTGTGCGAATGTCCGGCGCTTTACCCGGATTCTAAACCAATGGTGCACATGGGCTCCAGTATCCTGCGGGAACAAATGGCGTACGAACCAATCGTTGGTCACCGGCTACCATGGGGCGGCATTTCCTCACGATGCTTCACTGCCTTGTGGATCAGACCTTCAGGTCGAAGGCTCGGGGTGTGGCCCCCTAAGGTAACCACCTACTTCGGTCTGGGCATCCGAGCAGTATCACAGCCTACACATAAATGATGAACTGTCGATACTTATGAAAAATACTTTTCTTGCTTCAACTATTAATCAAACGATTCACATTATTATTATTACTATTGTTATTATTTACTACATCATTTATTCACTCTCTTTTATTCCTACTCTGTCTATCCTTATTTTTCGACTTATACACCAGCTCGTCTATGGTGGAAATTCGGTTCTATCTAAACGTTCTCGAGTAGAGGCATTATCAGATATGGCTCAGAATAGAAGCCAGTGGCGATCCTGCTGTAACCTTTTACTTTCTTCATAAAAAGTGGTTGCTTCTTCCTTAAGTGAAAGATCTCTTCTGAGTGTACATTTCTGTTTCCCCCATTATTATTATTATTACACTACCTTACACTAATCTGTTCGTTATCGTTTTTTTTAAACGCTACTTACCTTTTTTTCCTTCTCTGCAAATTCTCATTGTTTTGTGTGGCGCATATATATTTGGTGCCCTCCTGTACCAATGTTTATGTGTTTAAATAAATAAATAAATAAATAAAGCCAAAAAGTGGCTGTGACTGTGAGAGGCAGTAGTCACTAAACTGAACATAGCTTAATAACAGTCCACATGACTATCGTAACCAATGATTGGAGACTCTTGGTGACATGGCTCAGAATCGATCACAATGGCGTCGGTGTATACACTCCTTGTCTTCATTTAAACTAAGAGATTAAAATCACTTCATATCTTTCTTTCTACGAACCAATTCTTTCTTCTTGTACTATATTTCTATATGCAATCTTTCTCTTATATATTACCACCTTTGACCTAACCACTGCTATGAATCCAGTGTTCATCTTGTTGTGCTGATGCGGTATGACAACCTGAACCGATGCACATATGTGCCTGGCCCTACGTTGTAGCTGACTGACTGACTGATAGATAATACTAGTCCATTAATAGGTCTCAGAGGTTATTCGTAATGTAATCTTCACTAGGATATAACAACCATCAGTAGTATATTACCATAACTTCATATTTAATGAATAGTCTAGTAACTAACATTTGAGATTGTTTCTCTTTTGATCCTTTTTGTTTTGTTTTTTTTTAATATTAGGAACGTATTCGTAGAATGACTGTATTAAAAGCGAATCTTATATCATCTCAAGAAGAATTTTATACTGAAAAAAATGAAACACTAACAAATCTATTAAATGATTTAACTTCATTAGTTAATTCTAATCATTCAGAAATGAAAAAGAAAGAAGCTCAAAATTTAATGAAACAATTATTTTATGAAGTGATTGAAGAACGTCAATTGGCTACTTTACATAAACCAATTGAAGATCAATTTTTATGGTATCTTAAAGAAGCTAAACAACGTGAACAATATTTAATGATGAAATCACAAAAATTAGAAAAACAACAACGGAAATTAAGAAAATAATTTGAAAAAAAAGGTCATTATTATTATTGTTGTTGTTGTTGTTGTTATCATAGTCAACCTTTTGAAATTTCTTCTGAATATGTATCTATATGTAAATCATATTGTATTTCATATGATTGTTAGAGATCTTATTAAAGAAAAAGTAATGTGTAATTTTTGCATCTTAAATATCTTAGTGGAGAGAGTGTCAGATTTGCCTATTGAAATGTTATTATATGGCTACTTACTTACGCCTGTTACTTCCAATGGAGCATAGGCCGCTGACCAGCATTCTCCAACCCACTCTGTCCTGGGCCTTCTTTTCTAGTTCCATCCAATTCTTGTTCATTTTTCTCATGTCTATCTCCAATTCTCGGCGTAATGTGTTCTTTGGTCTTCCTCTTTTCCTTTGGCCTTGAGGATTCCATGTGAGGGTTTGTCTAGTGACGCAGTTGGGTGCTTTCCTCAATGTGTGTCCTATCCAGTTCCAGCGCTTCTTCCTGATTTCTTCCTCCGCTGGGATCTGGTTTGTTCTCTCCCACAGTACGTTGTTGCTAATAGTGTCCGGCCAATGGATCTGAAGTATTTTGCGTAGACAATTGTTAATAAACACCTGTATTTTCTGGATGATGGCTTTCGTAGTTCTGCAGGTTTCTGTCTAAGGAATTTCTATTCACTGCCTTCTTGCATTATAGGCGTTGTTTATGAAATTGAGAGGACGAAAAGTGAACATCCGACACGTTATCCAGGTTGGTGGACACGAAGAGTTTACCTAGAACGAGTTGGAAAATCTTCATTCCAAACCAATAGTGCATATGGGCTACAGTATCCTGAGTGAACAAATGACGTATGAACCAATTATCGGACACGAATTGCCATGGGAGTTCATCTCCTAACGTAATGTGTAATTTTTGCATCCTAAATGCCTTAGTATGATCGAGAGTGGAGAGAGTCAGATCTGCCATTTGAAATGCTATTATATGGCTATGTGCATGCAGTAACTGCTAGGTAAGTCCTATTCACTGATTTGTTACATCACGGGTGTTGTTTATGAAATCGAGAGGGCAAAATGTGAACATCCAACACGTTAGACAGCTTGGTGGACACGGAGAGTCCACTTAGGGAAGTGGGAAAACCTTCATTCCAAACCAATAGTGCATATGGGCTACAGGATCCTGAGTGAACAAATGACGTATGAACCAATTATCGGTCACGGGTTACTATATGACTGCATCTCTTAACGTTGGTCCACTGCCTTGTTAATTCAACCGTTAGGTTGAAGGCTCCGGGTATGACATCCTAAGAAAACCATCTGTTTCGGTTTAGGCACTCGGACAGTATCTCAACCCTCACAAAAATTGAATAATTCATATGGTGCCCCCTTGTACTAATGCTTATGTGTTTAAGTAAAATAAAACAGTAGTACTATTATATTTCTTTGCCTTCTAATTACTTTTCATATTATCACTTTCCCTCTTGAAATAACAGATCAGTCATCTTAATTAATCTGCTAAGCATTTTATCTTCTTACTATTACCATTTTAAATTGAACTAAGTTTACGAAAGTGTTGTAACGGGTGACTGCAGGTTAAGATAGCAGTGTATCTATCGATCGATTACAGTGACACGTAAAACACGTAAGGACGACCTAGAGTCCTGATTAGTTCTGCTTCCCTGTCTAGCTCAGCCAGTTAAGTCCAGAACGCAAGTCACAGCCTCTGAGTTATGAATCGTTATATTTCAAACATACTGTGTTTATATACCAACCAAACAGACCACATCGTACCATAAAAATAGAAAACAACATCTGTACACTATTTAACGAGTGAAATAAATAATGGCCAATAGGGAATGCCCAACTAATAGACTGCTATTGAAGTTGGCAAACCTTGGTATTGCCGGACCTCTTTTAAAATGGATTAAGGATTTCCTAGTAGGTCGTAGACAAAAAGTAAGAATAAATTCCAAGTGCTCCATCTGGAGACCAGTACTTAGTGGAGTACCCCAAGGTTCCGTCCTAGGTCCTTTATTTTTTATAATGTACGTTAATGATCTTACAAGTATAGTACAGTCTCCAATGTTATTATACGCTGACGATGTAAACATTTGGCGAGTAATAACTGGAGACAAAGACGCATTTACTCTTCAGGCGGACTTAAATAATATGATAAACTGGTCTAAAAAGTGGCTGATGCCTATCAACTCGGAAAAGTGTGTCTACATGCACTTGGGGGATTCAAAGGTTAATACGTACAACATAGGGGATGTGTCATTACTCGTAGTCCGGTCTCATAAGGACCTAGGGGTGACAGTGAGCAATGATCTTAAGACGATCGCCCATTGCCGGGAGGTCGTAGTTAAGGTGTTTCGAACCCTCTGGGCTTTAAAAAGGACATTCACTAAGTTTGGTACTACCATGTTCACCACATTATACACATCCTTAGTGAGAACTAAGTTAGAAAATTGTGTTCAGGCTGCAAGCCCCTGTTTAAAAGGTGAATCATACATACTAGAAAAGGTACAGAGGGCAGCTACGCGTGCAATTCCGGAACTCCGGGGTTTATCATATAAAGAGCGGCTTGAAAAACTGAACCTCTTTACTCTGTCCTATCGCAGACTAAGGGGAGATCTAATCTTGATGTACAGAATACTGAGAAATGATTTTGGACCTAACTTATTCTCTCTCTTTCTTCCCACTAGATCGGGACACCTCAGAGGACATAGCAGGCGATTAGAAAAGCTAAGAACGAACAAAATACCCGTGGCATACAGGTTTTCACACCGAGTCATCAATACTTGGAACCTGCTGCCTGAAGCAGTGGTGTCCGCACCTTCAATTGACTCTTTCAAGAGAAGACTGGACACTCACAGAAGCATACTAGAAAAGGAATAACATAGGCCGTAGGCTTTCTGTCCTTACTACACAAATCTGATTTAGAGTCCAAGGACATCATTAGACTTAACATGATAATGATTGGTATATTCCTCAGCATCCCTAACAGAAAGATACAAAAATTTAAGTGATTTTGTGCCAATTTTAACTGATGCACAATTTAGAGATAAAATGAATTCACATTTTATAGCACAAATTTCGTTGTTCTAATTTATCAAAGGGGTTCAACTAATATAAAAAGTAATTTATCATTCAATGAAGTGCTAGTATACATTCAAATCACTGATTATGTATATTAGAGTCATTTTAACCCTGAACGTATTCAAAGATGATCTATAAACCTTTAAGAACTTATAACTAATGTTGAAACGTTGTTAATATTTTGATTTTTACAATTTTTTTAAGAGAGATTTTATTGATTTAATACATGTTTGTACTTACTTTTGACATCTGGTTCCGCTGTTATGAAGACCTATTTAAATTTGATTTTGCTAATCAAGATGATGCTTTGAAGGTTGGGTAGAACATGTACTGTGCCAACAATACAAAAACCTCGTACTTCATGCGGTAATCACCTATGTTTGTTGTGACAACTAGATTGTAAAGTGTCTTTTCACGATTCGACGTTCACTGGGGTATGTTACATAACGCCAGCTGATTTAAATTTACTTGATTTAGATTGTTTCTACCAGCTGCATTTAGCTGATGTCCTGTTAAGCACCGTATGCAATCTGGTGGAACAAACCCATGAACCTGTAGCATATACGAAGAAGCTAATGACGGAGTTTTCAACCATTTTCCAGCCTGTATTGGGTCAGTGCACTGCTATGAAAGCAACACTTCGGTTGAAACCTGGAGCTAAGCCTGTCTTCCGTCTAAAAAGACATGTGCCGTATGCAGCATTATCGAAAGTTGATGAATAACTCAATCGCCTCGAACTACAGGGAGTTATTATACCTGTTCCTTATTCTGCCTGGGCAGCACCCATTGTGGTTATTAAGAAAGCAAATGGCACAATACGAATATGCGCTGATTTCTCAACAGATCTTGATGCAGCTCTGGAACAAAATCATTACCCGTTGCCAGTTCCTGCAGATCTGTTCACTATGCTAAATGGCGGAAAATGTTTTGCAAAGCTGGATCTCGATGATGCCTATCTACAAGTGGAAGTGGCTGAAGATTCGAGAGAGTTACTTACCATAAATACTCATCGTGGTTTGTTTGAGTGCAATCGCTTAGCGTTTAGTGTTAAAACAGCTCCTTCTGTTTTTCAGCAACTAATGGATACCATTCTATCAGGTATCGCGGGGTTCGCAACGTATCTCTATGATATCTTAATTGTTGCCACATCGTTAGAACAGCTTCGAGAACGCACCACAACTGTACTACAACGCGTCAGCGATAACGGATTCCGATTCCGCCCAGAAAAATGCCAGCTTTTCCGGAAGTCAGTAAAATACTTGGGATTCATCTTTGATGCCGCAGGTCGCAGACCAGATCCTGAAAACATCTGAGCTATAAAACTGACGCCGACTCCCACTAATATCTCTGAGCTACGATCATTCCTGGGACTAATTAGCTACTATCCAGCTTTTGTTCCGTCGATGCATGACATACGCGCCCCGCTAAATCATCTTCTGAATAAGAATATCAGCTGGAATTGGACAAAAGAATGTGAAGCTGCATTTTGCAAGCTGAAGACCATCATTAGCTCTGAACTATTATTGACGCACTACGATCCGTCCATGCCTATCATTGTGGCTGCAGATGCTTCAGCTTTTGGACCCGGTGCTGTTATCTCACACCAGTTCCCGGACTCAACAGAGAAAGCTATTATGTATGCATCTCTCACACTAACTCCAGCGGAAAGAAAGTACAGCCGAACAGAGAAACAGGCTCTCGCCCTTGTGTTTGCAGTACGCCGTTTCCACAAATTCTTGTACGATCGAAGATTCACTTTTCTCACCGTTCACAAGCCTCATCTCACAATTTTCGGTTCGAAATCTGGTGTTCCAGCCCATTCTGTAAACCGTCTCCAGTGATGGCCTTTGATTTTGACATTCAGTACCGGCGCACCCAACAGTTTGGCCAAGCTGACGCCTTGTCACGAATTATCAGCGAACACCATACGGCCGACGAAGATGCGGTTATTGCCTCCCTAATGACATAGGACCACGCGCAATGTTACCTGACAACTGCTGTTCGTGCTTCGCCAGTCTCAGCAGCTGAAATACAACATACCTCCAGGAACGACTCCATCATTAAGAGAGCGATGAAACATGTCATCAATGGCTGGCCGTCAACTGGACTCAATGGTGACGTGAAGCAGCTTTACCACCGTCTGAACTCATTATATATCGTAAATGAATGCTTGATGTTTGGAGATAGAGTGGTGGTACCAGAGTCCCTACGATCAAGAGTGCTAAAGCAATTCCACACCGGTCATCCTGGTATAAAACGAATGAAATCCATCGCCAGAAGCTATGCTTATTTGCCCCTCATTGATCAACACATCGTGGATTTAGTAGGCAAGTGCACACAGTGTCAGCAATCGGCTAATTGTAACGTGAAAGTACTGCCGGTCCCATGGCCACAACCTGAGCATCCCTGGTCCAGGTTACATGTCGATTTAGCAGGCCCAATTACTAGAATCACCTATCTAGTCGTTGTTGACGCCTTTCGAAATGGCCAGAAATCGTTCCCGTCATGCCACCAACGACCACCCAAACAATGCAACTTTTGACGGAGATGTTCTCCGGCAACGGATCACCAGATGTAATCGTATCCGACAACGGTTCGCAGTTCACCTCAAGTTAGTTTCAAGAATTTTGTGAACACCTATCGATCAAACATTTCCGTTCTCCACCTTACCACCTACAGTCAAATGGCCAAGTAGAAAGATTTGTGGATACATTCAAGATAGTTCTAATCAAGTTGACAGGGGAGGGAACGACAGTAGAAACACTGCGGACTTTCTTTACCGAACAGCACTTAGTGATATGCTACCAAAGTAGAAGTCCCCGGCAGAGATCCTGATGGGAAGGAGATTGAGGACGATCCACAGTCTGATGTGCCCAAAAACCACACCACCACCATCTCAGACCAAATCTCAGGAGCTGCCAACGTACGAGGTTGGATGCCCGGTATTCGCTCGAGACTACAGAGCAAATCATGGTCCTTGGACCGAAGCACCTGTGGTTGGAAGACTAAGCCAAGTTATGTACGACGTAAAGGTAGGAAGAGACACGTGAACTAGACGCCGAAACCAACTACAAAAGCGGATAGCCCCAGACCGCCCATCAACATGAGTAAATCTTCCCCTTGACGTCCTGTTTGATACCTTCAACCTACCAGCAGCCCCACCACGAGAAAAAACTGAACAACAAGCTGGTCTTCGTTCCAGAAGGTGACCCCTCCGACAGCGGCGAAAAAAAGTCAAGATGCAAGTCGACCCCAGGAAAGTATGCTATTAAAAAGGGGAGGTGTGTTGGGGACATTAGATCCCCAGAACTCACTTGGAAAAGGACCTAATTTTGTAATTTTATTTAGAAAATTTGAATTTCTTTGTTTTTGCGCCAAAAGCGCTCTTGTCACTTTTATGTCGTATTTCCCCACTTGGGAGAATCTTAAATGCCATTGGTCCATTGTGTCTTTTAGTATACTATTTTGTAACTCTCCCTAAGGACAATTTCGTGCTATATATATACGTTTTGATTTGTGTTTGTTGTTATCGCTCGTTTTTGACTATTTGCGGAATATACTTCCCCTATTTCAAGCTTGGACTTCTTCCTCTAGTTGGCGGGGCTGGGACGCATCAAATAGCTAGCTTATTGGTTTTTGGTCACCGAGTTTTTGTTCTGTTCGCAGTCTAAGTGAACTCGTAATCGCTTCAAACCTAGCAGATTTCCGTGATAGTGGTTGTATACACGTGTCCATATTGAGAGCATTTGGAGAGGGAGAGCTGACTCTCCCCACTCTCAGCTGTACCAGGGCATTTGGGGGCTTGTGAGATTACCCCGTTTGTAATTGAATAGCCGTAAGAAAGTGATGAATTCATTTTATCGTTCAGATCTTATGACTTACTGGATTGCTTAAAAAGTAATTCAGTTTTATACATGAATAAACAGATCTACTTTAGTCTGTGCAAATTCTCTGATACATTAACAAAGTGTAATTATGTAACAAAGAGCTGGTAACCAAACATGTGGATATATTGTTCTGTGTAAGTATTTATACACCATAATAGTCTGTAGCATCTAATCTATCACAAATAGCGTAATATTATTAGGCGTTTGTTAAGAACATATGAATCAAGAAGCTTTCCTATTCATTTACTGTTTAAGTACAACCAGTCGTAGAATTGGTAAACAGTTTGCATATTTTTACGCATTAATTTGAGACACTTTGATTACTCGCTAGAGGTATCTCCTGTGTGATTATTCACCAAGTAAATAGTGGTTGGCAGTTATACTATGGACTATGCAGTTACACTTCTATGCTAATAGAAATGCTAACACAAATTCAGATTGTTTTTAAATCTGAAGAATTCTTTCATGATTTTAGCAAATGAGAAGTGTCATTCACATGTAAACCGGAGGCATCTTTTGAATTTATCATGATATTTACGTGGTCTTGCTCATCTGCGTCGATTGAAATGTAGACCTTGTTCCACGTTTCAATCACGTAGAATCAGTAGGACTGAGACTTCATATGTGTCTCAGCTAACAACGTCAAACCTATCAGACAGACACATTGATCTTGATAATAATTACTCCTCCATTCGTCTAAGAATAATAGGGGCTAGTGGTAATTAAATGTGCCTGCCGACGTGCTCACTCAGAATATTTAAATGTGATGAATCGAACTCCATCCAGATTTACAAGACATCCACAAGGTTACTTGATCCTGTGCGGATACTCAGGCCTACAGTTAGTTATAGAGCAACCTTGCGGTGACAGTTCTCATAGGCAAGGAATGTAGCTAACGGTAGAATCCAGGACTCGTGTTTCACCAGTAGGACTTCAGACTTCATGTTTACGTCAGGAATCATCTCTTCTCTAAAACTTGTGAAATAACGGCCATATCGAAGCAATCCCTACAGGTTGCACATATGCCAGCTAAGACTGACCAAAATGCCGTCAAAAATATCAGCAACAAAATAACTCGAATATACTTACAAATTAAAGTAGGACGACTTCCATATATGGAGGAAAAATCAATTGTCAGCCTAGTTTAAATAGAATTGGAAAGGTTCCTACCAGAGGTCTGAATCAACGAAAGCAAATAAGTCTAAACTAAGAAGTGAAGTGCAATCTAACGAGGTTTTTTATTAGTAGCCACGTATGCTTTTTACATGCATTTCTGGGTAGATTGTACTAGTTACTATTCCGTAGTAGTTCAATGTGTACTCAATGATTTACCAGTTAAATCACTCACTGTCCAATCAATCGGGTTTTAGTTTCAAATTGCACTCTACTGATATCAGTTTGGTCACCCGATTAGTTGTATTTCTAGTTCTAAAAGATAAAGGGTGACTTTAAATTAAGTACTTGATAAATGAGTTAGATTAGATTGGAAAAAAAACCCAGAAGTACCAAAAATTGGTTCATTTCTTAATGTGTAGTTGATCAGTAATGAGCTTATACAGTTATAACAGACCGGGGCTGATACATATGCACATCAGCCCAGGTTACTACATCTCATATTAAGACAGCAAGAAAGGGTTAGCAAGATAAATACTCAAACTAGTAATATCAGTTCGAGTCATAAAGATTAGACATAGAAATTGTTTACTTGATTCTTCGCATCGATGTTTAGGACTGTAATTGATCAGTCTCTCTTACTGACATATATGCATCCTGTGCGAACTGCCTCACTTCACACAAACATTATAAACAATGTTGGATAGAGGCTAGCAATGGAATCCAGTGGTTATCAGGACTTTGTAGCTAAATGTATAACGCTATGGCGTTTGAAGCGAATGGCACTGAGTTCGAGTCCCAGAGTGAACATCAACTCAGAGATACAGGTAGATCCATGTGAAGAGTCCTGAATGGGATGAAACGCACATCCTGAATCCCACTGCTAACCACTATCTATCTTAGTCATGGATTCAGTTTGACAGTCAATAACTTTATGAACTGATATCGTGACGTCCCTAATCTTCATCCATCCTATTCCGATGGCCAATATATCGTATCGACTTAAATGGGATTTGAAAAAACAAACCAAGCCATGCTGGGGTTCTAGTTTTAAGAAGAAAATAACAAGTAACTTCATCTCCGCGAATGTGATTCAACATATTCCGGAAATCGATCATTAATAATTATCATGACACAATACCTAAGTGTATAACGCGATGGCATTTGAAGCGAACGGTAATGGGTTCGAGTCCCAAAGTACATGTCAACTCTGAGATTCAAGTACATCCAGCTGACAAGTTCTAGATATGACGAAAACGCACGTCCTGGATTCCACTGCTAGCCAATATCCATCTTTGCATATTAACAAAATTGGTTGAACTCTATTCATGAAAATACAAAAAATAAATTTACCTGAATACCAAAATTTTATTTGTACATTGAATCAATTTTGTTTGAAATCAAAGTTAGAACAAAAAGAAATTTGTCGGACAAAGTTTTGAACTGATATTCATGTTTGTCTTTGATGCTGATGATAATGATAAAATAGTTTAAGTTTATATTTTGTTAACCAACGATCGAATACAGGGAATCGTTGCATAATAGCACAAAAAAGATTTGCCGGTATTAACTGATGCCTACTGATAAGTTCTTCAATGGATATACGAACCTAATTTAAGAAGAAAAGATGAGAAGAATGGAAAAAGATAAATTTACAAATTTGTCTCCACTATCCAGGATAAAATCTCGGATGAAGCCCTGAAGTCAGATATAAAAGTAATTGCAAGCATGCTGTACGTTCTATTCAAGATTTCGAAGGGGGGGAGAACAAGTGCCGACAGACTGAAAAGGAGGAATCTCATCAAGATACTGAAGAAAGGAGACATGAGCAAATGTACGAACTACAGAGGAATCATACTACTGTTAGCACCAGGAAAAGTTTTCAATAGTGTTGCGGAATAGAATGAAGGATTCAGTGGACGTCCAGCTTCGAGATACACATACCGGATTCCGTGAGGATCGGTCGTGCACAGATCAAATCGTGGCACTACGGATCATTGTTGAACGACCAATTGAATGGAACTCGACACTATACATCAACTTATTTGGCTATAAGAAAGCATTTGACATAGTGGATAGGAGAACATTGTGGAACCTTCTTCCACATCATTGTTCGCCTACGATTGTCAACATCATACGAAATTCGTATGACAGACTACATTGCAAAGTCGTGCATGGAGGATAGCTCGAAGATGTGTTCCAAGTGACTACCGGTGTCGGTCAAGGTTGTTTACTGTCCCTTTCTCTTATGAACACCTCGACATCTCAGGGAAAGCACGGAATACAATGGACAGCTAGAATGCAACTAGACGGTTTGGGCTTTACAAATGACCTGCCTCTTCTATCCCATGGACGTCAGCGATTGCAGGTGAAAATTGCCAGTATAACAGCAGCCTATGCATCAGCAGCCCTCAAAATACACAAGGGGAAAAGCAACATCCTGAAATACTGTTAGGTCCCGAGAAACATAATGAATGGTAACTTTGGGATCCTTTTATGGATCGATCGACAATTCACTGCATCTGATTGGCCGCCTCGGGCTATAACAATTGGCGAAGGGGTAAACAAACGATCCAAAGTTAGTCTGTAATTGGACGAAATTCAGTCCAATTATTTCGAGCAATCAGTATCAAGATTTGTCATCAGTGTTCTTGAACGACATTGGTTATTATTCATACAGTAATTTTGATTGCCGGTGCTGATTCAAAAAAAGACTCTCCTTTCCGATCGATTACAGCTGTTATTTGAGCGACAGTTGGAGTTCTTACTCAAATTACGCACGCAGCTGCTGAATCACTCATGCTTTGGAGATGCGACGGAAGTGGATGGATTAAGTTCTCAATTGCACACTAAGCTGGGAAATGATTGCAGCCTCCATGAATCCTCGACAAACCGTATTCCAAACGATACATCAGTCACCCAAGATCTGCCCAGTGGTCCAGTACTCTCCATTTCAGAAACATGCCCGGTAATTGATTCAAACCCCATTATCTCCGAAACAGCATGTGCAGACAGTGACTTACCCAGTTCACAAACAGACGCCCTGTCAAATGTTCATAGAATTGTCGCAGTAACCGCCCATGAAACAGAAAACAAATCGAGCAGTACATTGAATGCAGATGCTCCAAATGGATCTCATCATTCAGCGACAGAAGTTTCTGACGAGTCTAATTATCGAGATTCTTTTTTTACCAGAAAATATGTCAGATGCATCAAATGATGATCAGAAACATAATACAAGTTTGATAGATGCTGATTAACCTGCTGATCCATTATCTACAAATAAAGTTCCCAATAAATTTAGTCACAATATTTCGGAAGAATTAAACTTCGATTACCTCATATCAAGCGTCGTTCAGCCTCACCACTTAGTCACTTTCAGTCGACTCTCTGTTCAATGAGACAAATATGTTTTAAATAAATTTAAATCGATTGTAACTTGGGAATATGAGGATCCAACACTGTTTCGTGGGGGGAGGATGAACCCGGAAAATTTAAAATCCGAATATCAACACCGGATCTTCAAAAAAAGGGGAAGTGTGTTAGGTCCCGATAAGCATAATGAATGGTAACTTTGGGATCCATTTATGGATCAATATTATACGTATATTTTTATCGTATAATTGTGAAATAACTAAACTATTCATATTCATGTTCCTCTTATTATAAGCTTTATTTTGACCTATAAACCAGTATTATGCCCTATCTATTAGTCACTGCTTCCTACATTCACAACCACATTTGACCAAATCTTCTACAAATGTTGTTTTCTATTTAATGGTACCTTGTGGTCTGTTTGATTGATAATATAAACCCAGTATGTTTGAAATATAAGGATTCATACTGCAGAGGCTGAAACTGGTGTTTTGGACTTAACTAGCTGGGCTAGGCGGAAAGCAGGACCAATCAGAACTCTAGGCTGCTCGCACGTCTTTTACGCGTCCTTGGTCCAATCGACAATTCACTGCTTCTGATTGGCGGCTTTGGGCTATAACAAATACAACACGGAGTACACCAGCCCAATCACACTTGGTGGAGAAACTCTAGAAGAGGTGAAAAGTTTCACGTACCTGGACAGCATCATCGATGAACAAGGAGGATCTCATACAAATGTAAAGACAAGAACTGGAAGAGTGATGGCCGCATTCCTACAATTCAAGAACCCAAAGCAACTGTCAACCAATATTAAAGTCAAAATCTTCAATACGAAAGTCAAGTCAGTTAGTTCTGCCGTACGGAACTGGAACTTGGAGGACTACTACAACCATCATCGAAAAAGTACAAGTATTTTTAAACAACTGTCTAAGCAGGACACGCCAGACCCGTCGGCCGAATACCATCGGCAACAGCCTATTGTGGGAGAGAACAAACCACCTTCCAGTTGAAGAGGAAATTAGGCAAGGACGTTGGAAGTGGATAGGACACACATTGATGAAATCATCAAACTGCATCACGTGGCAAACACCAGCTTAGAATCCTGAAGGGAAAAGGAAAAGAGGAAGACCAAAGAACACGTTGTGTCTGGAATTGGGATCAGATATCGAGAGAATGAATAGAAACTGGAAAGGATTGTTCAGGACAAAGTTGGATGGAGAATCCTGGTGAGCAACCTACGCTTCTCCACGAGGGGTAACAGGCACATGTAAGTAAGCGAGTAATCCAGATAGAACATCGCTAAAAAAATAGATGTCACCAGCCCCAAGAAGCTATCCTTTGGGGTATGTGTGACCACGCTCTCAAGTCGTCAAGATAACGGTTTACACTGATTTCCTTTTTAAGTCCCACACGAAGTATTATCTTCTCATGGTATTGGATAACCGCCCTCATATCTTTAACATCACTGAAACTAGCCTACATACATAGCTTATTGTCAGTGTATACTTTTCAATCTTTGATTACGATCGTTCCTTTTATACCATAATTGCTGTGAGAAAATAGTGGGCAAAGAAAGCAAAAGGTAGTGGCAATAGGCAATAATAGACGACTTATCAGGTTTATCAAAGAAACGGATATTGCAAATTCACGTGTTAGTGAGATTATTTCCATAAAGGATGAAACAGTGACCCACTCTCAGGTCAGGATTAGAACGATGGGCGGAACGCTTTGAAGAACAGTTTGACTGGTCATATGCAACCCTCCAGTTCCCTGCTATTACCATCAACCTAAACAGGATATCAACATAAGCACCCCAATTCTTAAGGAAATTAGAAATCCAGAGCTAATCTAAGGAGATGGAGAGCAGCAGGCTTTGATGTATTAGCCCCAGAGATCTTCAAGGATGGCGGTTCAGTTCTATCAGTTATAATGACTGAGATACAAACTGGAAAGTGGGCAAAATCCCAACTAACTGATCTTCATTGCTGACCATCCTAGTTTACAAGAAAATATACATTCTCAAAATACTAACACTCCCTCTAAATGTAAATTGTTGCCTCAAAACTGATCTACACCATCATTTAAACTGATTACAGGGAATGGAGTAGTCAAGCACGTCGACTACTTCACTTATCTTGGAAATCCAATCTATTGATGTGGGTAAGTGTTTGACAAGATTTTGACACGGATTCAGATAGCTCGATTAGCTTTTACCAACTTACGTCACCTGTGGTGTAGGTGAGATATCCACCTACCAACCAAAGGAATAGTGCACTACCCAGCAGTTTGCTTTGTTTTAAAGTATGGCAGTAACATATCCATTAGAAATAGATTTCCGTAGCTTACTAGTATTCGATCACAGGTGCCTTCGAAGCTCTGCGTGCGCTTGTTGGAACCGTCAAGTGAGTAGGTCATTTCTCCCAGGTGAGTGATCATAAGGTTAGACGAATGGTATCAAGGTAATGATATTAAATCGCTTGGTCGAGTAGTGAGTATTGATTGATTGAGATGGTTAGAACATGTATCACATATGCTCAACTACTGCTTATCTTAACTCACAATGATGGACAGGTTGGAAAGAAGCTTCAGGTTGCCAAATCAAGACTCAAGATCAATCTATGAAGTAACTAATGTTTAGAGATATTTGGTAATATGTCACAAATTTAACTGAAACCTTATCCTCCTTTCAATCATGAATTTTACAAGTATCTTATGCATTTTATGATCCGGTTAATTCTTTTTTTCGAGTCATAACTTCTATGGTTAATCTTTTATACAACCCTAGGATCACTCTATGATGATATGACGTAACAACTTGAACCTTTGAACGAATGTACCAGGTTCTTCATTGTGTATAACTGATAAGATTTCCCATGGATATTATCGACATTCGAATATACAACCATCATGTATATGTAAGCTAATCAAGATTTATTGTATCGTTTCATTTTATAACAAAATTTGAAGTTAGGTTTATAAATTAGTAATAATGAATACTTACTCGACTAGCTAATTCATCAGATGTTTCATTTGGCAATGGATAAATCGGATCACCAATATAGGTTCTAGAAATTAAAACAACAATATTGTACTATGTGAGAAGTGCAAACAATCATACAAAATTTTTTGATTGAGATCATGAACTGATTGATGTTAGACCACCATTAAGAACCTGAAAGCACTGGATGGCCTTTTCGTCTTATTGTGGGACTCCTCAGTAGTGCGCATACACGATCCCGATTACAAGATTACAACCCAGGGTCTTCAGTCTCACGCGTGAACGCTTAACCTCTAAACCACTGAGCCGGCATTCAATGGTGTGAATGTCTAGCTTCAACTAATTCACGAAATTGCGCGACCATCCTCCACTGTACTGAGGTAGATACCTGTCTCTAACTGACACGGATTAGCTCTACTAGTCACGGTTTCTCACTAGAACTCAGAGAATTCCCTCACGAAGCTAGTGACTAGTGAGCACATAGTAATTATCATATAAAAGTTAGAAACTTGACCGAATATGGAAATGTACGAAGCATAAAACCAAAAAAAATCAATTAGATGATTTGTAGGTAGAAATTGTCACAGAATGAAATCAGTTAAGAATATTATTGAATACGAAGGGAGCAACGATTAGTTGTTTGATTTTATTATGGGAATTTTAAACCCAATATCCATGACACATTTATTTTATTTTAACACATAGATATTGGTACACGGAGGCACCAAATACATATGCGCCACACAAACCTTATTTGATATAAGTGGGGGCTGTTATACTGCTTGAGTGCCCAAACCCGAGCAGGTGGTTTTCTTAGGGGGCCACTCCACGAGCCTTCGACCTGAAAGTCTGATCCACAAGGCAGTGGGGCATCGTAAGGAGATACAGTCCCATGGTAGCCGGTGACCAACGATTGGTTCATACAGTCAGTCAGTCAGTCAGTAACAACGTAGAACTTCGTACGTACGTACAGCAGTTCGAGTTGCCACACCACCTTAGCACAGAGATGCAGTTGTCGATTCAAATCCCGTAGTGGTAGAGGTAGCAAGAGTATAAGCATTAATCGGGAAGATTAGGGTTTGGAGATGTTATTTAAAGAGTATAATCCAGTGAAATAAATTTGGAAAGAGGAAAAAAGGGACATGAAGAATTCAGAAGATTAGAATTTGGGAGAACACAAAGAGTGGATGCACCTGCGCCATTGCAAACGATTTTGAGCCATGTCATTCAGGGTCTCTAACCATCGGTTGCTATCATCTCGTGGTCCCCAATCAGGTAGTCTACACCTACCAACATGACTCAGTTCACTTGTCAGTGACTTCATTGACTTGTGCCATGTTTTGGTTTGGCCGCCCCTAGCTTTCCTCCAACCTACTCCTATACCACTGAACATAGCACGTCGAGGTATTCGGTCGTTGGGCATACGTAACACGTGTCCCAGCCATCTCAACTGATGAAGTTTCACTACTTCATCAATTGATTTGCCATCCTTACCTAGTACCCGTTTCCTAACAACTGTGTTACTTACTCGATGGTCCCATGATATATGAGCAATGTTTCGAAGACACCTATGATCAAATACTAGTAACCTACGGATATTCTCTACTCTTACCGGCCATGTTTCACTGCCATAAAGTAGGACGGAACGAACTGGTGCGCAGTAAACACGTCCTTTGGTTGAGAGACGGATATCTCGCCTACGCCATAAATGACGCAAGTTGGTAAGAGCTAGTCGAGCCTTCTGTATCCGTGCTGAGATTTCGTCACACACTAAACCACAAGGGCTGATGAGACTTCCAAGATAAGTGAAGCGGTCGACACACTCAACTACTTCACTCTCTATCACTAGTTCGGGTGTCGATGTAACCCAATCCTAAAGCAACATTTTGCATTTCGAGGGAGAGAATCGCATCCCGAACATGCTTGCATTGTTGCTTAGAGTGGTCATACGCCATTTGTTCACTCAGGATACTGGATCCCATGTGCACCATTGGTTTGGAATGAGGGTTTTCCAAATCCCCTAGATGGACTCTCCATGTACACCAACTAGGTTAAAGCGCCAGACATTCGCTTTTCGTCCTCTCATTTTCGTAAACGACACCCCCGCCACGAGAAGGCAGTGAGTAGGACTTCCCTGGCAGAGGCTATATACGCGTGGCCATGTGAGAGCATTTGAGAGGGAGAGCTGACACTCTCCATTCTCGTTCGTACCAGAGCATTTGGAAGCAGACATGACACAATCACGGATTTAATCTGAGATCTTTAAGTCGTGCAGTAAACCATATCTGCTTCCACCTATGAACAAAGCGGGATTCAGTAAATAAACCAACATTGACTCCCAGGATGTCAGAACCTACACATATCGACACAACAAGAGGGAGTTGCCAGCGGATCTCAACCATGAAATTCCATCAACCAATGACTTGATAGCCAGGATATATGGGGTTGAATGTCAGTTTGAAATGTGTAAAATAGATCCCAGGGATTTCAGTCGATTAGGACTCACGGTCACTTCTGTTCCGAATATTGTCGACATTATTCACTATGTAATTTCATTATAGTCAGGACTAAAGTTTAAAAGGTATGCTATGGTCATTCATTTCAACCTTTATCCTTGTCTTTAGATGCTCTTTTTCTAATCGTTTCCAAAAACTTCTTCGTTACCCGGACTTGGGACCGACAGTAACTTTAGAAGAGCTACAGGCGGGATACCACCAGCAACAGTATACTGTGAGAGAGGATAAACCAGCTCCCAGCTGAAAAGGAAATTAGGAAAAGATGATGAAAATGGATAGGACATACATTGATGAAATCACTAAACTGCATCACAAGGCAAGCCCAAAATTGGAATCCTGAAGGGAAGTGGAAAAGTGGAAGGCCGAAGAACACATTACGTCGAGAAATAGAAGTAGATATGAAAAGGATGAATAACAACTGGAGAAGATTGGGTAAGACAGGGTTGGATAGAGTGCTGGTGGGCGGCCTATGCTCCTCCACGAGGAGTAACAGGCGTAAGTAAGTAAGTTTCTAGTCGTTAATTGTACATTTTCACAAAACATTGTACTTTTACACATTATGGAACAAAAATTATGATGTTCGTTGGTAAGTCGTAACTGAAAAGAGAAATCCTTGTCTATTTTTTGTTATAAAATCATTCTAAAACCTTATTCTTCAAGTTTTCATCCTTACTGACTGTTCATGGCTTCGCATACTAAAATGTCGGGAATCAACACAAGGAATTAATTACTGATGATGAACATCTAATTATTACATACAAATCAACTTACCTAAGTTTAACAGGAAAATAACCATAAAATATGGCTAACGGTAATCGTGTTCTTTCATATAAGCTACGCCACCAACCTATATGGATAAAATTAATAATTTTACCAAGAATAATTTTTTATGTTACCTTTGCCAAATTGTACAATTCTTATGGTTTCACGAATATTTTCTGTAAACATTGGATAAATAGGCTGAAAATAAAAAGAAGAAAAACAATAGAAGGGAGAAATAAATATTATAGTCCCCCACAATGGGACGATGAAATGGCCTTCCAGGTTTTCCATAGTTGTCTTAGCTTGAATTGACTCATTAGCCCAGTTATTGAAATTACTACAATCTCAAAAAAAACCCTTTCTGATACATTATAGTTGCCTACGATAAATGTAAATCTGTAAAATACATACGAAGGCGATCAAACCAAAACGTGGCATCAGTGCTTGAAGACACTAACCTCTAGTCTGAGCCATGTTGGTAGATGCAGACTACTTGGTTGGGGTCCGCGTGACTTTCGTAACCAATGGTTGGAGACTCTTGGTGACATGACTCAGAATCGATCACAATGGCGTCGGTGTATACACTCTCTGTCTTTCCTTAAACTAAGAGATTAAAATCGATTCATATCTTTCTTTCTACCAACTAATTTTTTTCCTGTACTATATCCTTATACACAATCTTCCTTTTATATATTACACCATTGAAATGACTACTTCTATGAATCCGGTGTTCATCTTGTTGTGCTCATGAGATATGGCAACTTGGGCCGATGCATATATGTGCCTGGTCCTACGTTTTAGCTGACTAACTGATTGAAAATATATACAAACAGTATGTATAGGAAGACAACACATACTTGGGAGTTACAATTCCAGTGTTTCATATTTCTCAATAATAATATGTATGTAATAGTTATCCAAAAAGTTAGATAATAAAGATTTATGGCTCCATCAATCAGCTCATTATTTCCACTTGCAACCAGCATATATATCTTTAAAGAGGAAAACTTTACAGGAAAAGGATGAGATAGGTTGAGAGATTTCAGATAGCTCAAATTCTGCATTGACGTCTTGTTGTAAAGAAGGTATTAAGTAAAAAAAGTTACAAAGTATATACATAATACATGTACATAGCCTTTATTCATCCGTTCGCATTTTATAGCCCCCAAATGTCCGGATACGGATGAGCGTGGAAAGAGTTCGCTCTCCCTCTCCAAATGCTCTCACATAACGACGTGTATACAGTTACCGACAGAGAAGTCCTACTCACTGCCTTCTCACAACCGGAGTGTTATTTACGAAATTGAGAGGACGAAAAGCGAATGTACGGCGCTTTAACCAGGTTGGTCGACACGGAGAGTCCACCTAGAGGAGTTTGGAAACTCTCGCTGCAAACTAACGGTGCACATGGGCTCCAGGACCATGAGAGAAGAAATGGTGTATAAACCTATTGTTGGTCACCGGCTACCATAGGTCTACATCTCCTGACGTTGCTCCACTGTCTTATGGGTCAGACCATTGGGGCAAATGTTCCAGGTGTGCCCCTCCCAAAGAAAACCACCTATCTCGGTTTGGGCACGCGGGCAGTATCATAACGTACACACTAATCAAGTGACTTGTGTGTCGCATATGTACTCGGTGCCCGTTTGTACCAATACTTATGTGTTCAAATAAATAAATGAAGCCAGATGTGTGGTCTGATTATATTGGCGAAAATAAACGTATCAATATGGGACATAAATAAATTAGTAACAATCGAATATACTAAATATCTCATGGCTACTCCATCAGTTTGTTTATATAAAGTCCCTTTGAAAGTGAAGTGTTGGATTCAAGCATAACTTGAGAGATTTCATGATTGAACTAATACTTAATGGACGTCTTCTAGATTGTATATTCGAATTCTCTCATCAATCATTAATAAATTCTAGATATCTATCAATCGGAATACTGATGTATAGAGATACAGTTCCCACAAACTAATACACGTACAGACACCAACACATATTCAAACTTTAACTCTACTCCTTTATATTACAAATTGCACACTTTTTACGCCCACCATTATACACACGAACACATAGTGTTGTTTCACACGGAATCACCTTGATCGAAAGAATTCACATGACATTGCTCGTATATCATGGGACCATCGAGTAAGTAACACAGTTGTTAGGAAACGGGTTCAGTGGTATAGGAGTAAGTTGGAAGAAAGCTAGAGGAGGCCAAACCAAAACATGGCACAAGTCAATGAAGTCACTGACAAGTGGACTGAGTCATGTTGGTAGGTGTAGACTACCTGATTGGGGATCACGAGATGATAGCAACTGATGGTTAGAGACCCTGAATGACATGGCTCAAAATCGTTTGCAATGGCGCAGGTGTATCCACTCTTTGTGTTCTCCCAAATTCTAATCTTCTGAATTCTTCATGTCCCTTTTTTCCTCTTTCCAAATTTATTCCACTGGATTATACTATTTAAATAACATCCCCAAACCCTAATCTTCCCGATTAATGCTTATACTCTTGCTACTTCTACCACTACGGGATTTGAATCGACAACTGTATCTCTGTGCTAAGGTGATGTGGCAACTCGAACTGCTGTACGTACGTACGAAGTTCTACGTTGTTACTGACTGACTGACTGACTGACTGATATAATGAGATGCATTTCGATCGAACTGAATATTCCACCTTGTTCCTTTATACTATTTAAACGTGTTAATTTAATTTATTTACCTTGAAGTGACTAAAACTACGCTACGAAACTCATTGAAATCATGAACCGATATAAGTTAGACCACTGTTGAAAATCTGGAAATAATGGACAGCCATTTTATCTTAGTACGGAACTCCTCAGCAATGTTGACCCACGACTCCTGACGTTGGAACCAAATGCAGAATCTTTGATTTCGCACACGAATGTTTAACATCAAAATCATTGAGTCAGCATCCAACGATGTTAATAACTAAGTCCACTCGATCCATAATATTGCTCGACTACCTTCCATCTTTGGTGAATAACTGCCTCATACTCGACATAGTTCAGCTACACAAGTCACGACTTCTCACTAGATCTCCGCAAATATACTGTCGAAGCTAATCACTAGTGAGCACGTAATAATATCAATATGGGGTTGTGATTTAACTTGAGGCAATCCACGATATTGCTCTATCATCTTCTAATGCCTTCAGTGAATTAGACTCGTACACTACTGGAGCCCAACTCAGTGGTCTAAAGGTTAAGCATTTGAGCGCAAGACCAAAAGGTTCTGGGTTCGATTCTCACGTTCAGAGTTGTCGGTGTGCGCTGCCAAGGAGTTCCATACTAGTACAAAATGATTGTTCAGTACTTCCGGGTTTTCACTGGTAACGATAATATAGAGAAGAAAATATAGAGACTAAACAAAATATTACTCAACACAAATACAAATCAATTTGCAGCCAATGAATTCACAGCAGTAAGTTCACAATCAAATGGCTAATAACATTTTACTGTCACTAACCACATATCAGATTTTATTTGGAAGAGTTTACTTATATTGATATACAAATATATGCGTCACATAAATTATTCGATTTGTAGGAGAGCTGGAATACTGCTCGGGTGTTCAAACCGGAACAGTTGGTTTTCTTAGAGAGCCACAAGTCAGTGAAGCAACGTCAGGAGATGCAGTCCCATGGTAGCCAACAATAGGTTCATTTGCCATTTGTTCCCTCAGGATTCTAGAGTCCGTGTGCACCATTGTTTTAGAATCAGAGTTTCCCAACTCTCTTGGGTGAATCCTCCATATGCACCAACCCGGTTAAAGCGTCGGACATTGGCTTTTCGTCCTCTCAATTTCATAAACAACACCGCCGCCGCGAGAAGGTAGTGAGTAGGACTTCCCTTGCAGAGGCTGTATACACGTGGTCATGTGAGAACATTTCGAGAGGGAGAGTTGACTCTCCCCACCCTCGGCCACACCAGGACATTTAAGGTTGGATTTTCATTCATAGTCATTAATTTTTAGTAAAAGTTAAGTTGTAGCTAGAAATGGAATCCAGGACTTGTGCTCTATCCTATTTGAAACTTACCACTGAATAACACGTTGATGTTCGCAGTAACAGTTACTGGGTTCAAACATAATCTCAAGAATGAAGGTACATTCAACTGATAAGTCCCAAATAGGATGAAATAAGCATCTTGGATTCCACTGCAGACTATGATCTAACTTTACTAAATACATAGAGTTTGTTTAATTTTATGCATTTACAGGAGTCACTTTTAATCTACAATATATAGTTAATACCTTCTATTCAATTAACACTTAATTATTGCTTAAATCATTAAAGAATTCCTCATAAATTAACTTACTTGTCCAGATAATAAAGAAATACGTGCAAAACCTCGACGATTCTCCCACATAACTGTATAAAATTCATCAGAGAATAAAGCTTCTCTAACACCACCGGGAGAGATTAATAATACATCACCTTGTGAAACTTTACCATCTAATGATAAGGTTAGAAAAAAACACATATATAACAACAGATGGGGTTTTGTGGATATTATATAGTAATTTTAATAGTTGGGATCATAAGTTTCACAGTAGGATCAAAACAGCCATCCAGTGCTCCCAGGTTTTCCATAGTGGTCTAGTTTCAATTGACTCATGATTTCAACTATTAAAATTACATATATAATAGAAAAAAATAAACATTGAACCTTGAGATCACAAACAGATTAATGTTAGGCCACCCTTGAGAACCTGGAAGCACTAGACGGCCGGTTTGTCCTACTATATGACTACTCAGTAGTGTGCGTCCATGATCCTCTGAGCGGGATCTAACATCAGTCAGTTCATGATCTCAATCAAAAACTTAATAACCTCCACAACCCTATAGTGATCTTTACATTCACTTATGTCGATTGTTTCCACACTATATCTTACCTCAATGTCAACTTCCAATACATATCAATGGTTGTAAGCAGCTAATGATGATAAACCACAAAATATAATGAATTCATATTATTCTACATCCATGTTCGCTCTGGCTTTATTTAAATTCATAAAAGGAACTAATTTTCATATGAGGAGGAAAACAGTTTTTGGATACGACCTTTTTCGAAACAGTTGTCCTGCTAAAATTAATCTATAATGTAGACTACAAATAATGACGTTGATTGTTTACTTAATAATGAACAACTTCATGTTTATAAGCAAAGATGAATAGTGGCTAGCAATGGAATCCAGGACGTGCGTTTCGTCCTATTCGAGACTCGTCATCTGGATGTGCCTGCATCTCAGAGTTGATGTTCACTATGGGACTCGAACCCAGTAGCGTTCACTTCAAACGCCATCGCGTTATCTACTTAGCTACCGAGTCCTGATAGCCACTTGCTTGTGCAATGGGGTGAAATCTAAATTCCCTTGATATTGTTTACTTGAATCCCAGAGTGAACATCAAATCTGAGATGCAGGTTCATTCAGCTGATGAGTTCCAAATAGAATGAAACGCGCATCTTGATTCCACTGATAGCCACTATCCATCTTTGCTTATAATACTTGTGAATTAAGGTTATATCGAGGCAAGACGCAATATGCACACATGCCAATAAGAGACTGATCAATCGCAGTCCTAACATCAATGTGAAGATTCGAACAAACAATACCAAGTGAATTTCACGTTTGTCTAGACCTTTTTAGTTGCAGTGTACTGGTTAATAGTTCAAATTACTTAACATTGCATTCACTAAGCAGAGGAATTAGGTAGTCGAAATTAATCAGTAGGATACCGTGGATCTAGGTTTCGAGCTAGTGAGTAGTTCTTAGTAGAGCTTGCCTGTAACCTCCAGCAAACTGTCCCATGATGGGTTCAGTTTCATAATCTGGGACGGTATCATTTGAATCACTCGGGCTAACCAGACTAAATTATCACAAAACCTAGGTCTAACAGAGTTCCCTATCGGACACCTCCAACTCCTTAGCAAACAAGTAATTAGTTCAGTTTTTTGAAGGCAAATTGAATATTATTACTAATGGGGATGTCATTAGTAAACGATCTAAACAGTAGAGAGTTACTCAATCAGATACGGATGGTGGCTAGTAAGGGAATCCAAGATGTGCACTTCAACCTGCTTGGAACTCGTTAGCTGGATGTACCTGCATCCCAGAGCTGATGTTCACTTCGTGACTCAAACCAAGCATCTTCCGATCAAAACAACCAATATGTATGGATTGAAATTTGAAGGTTACATTACAATTACTCAACAGAACGCGTTTACGATTTTCCACACAATCGAACTCAGGACTTTCCTGTTACTTAGTTATATAAAAATATCACATACTTTACTCATCAGAATATTTTATAAATCAGACTCTATGATGTGTTACTGTGAGAAATCGTGAGTGTAAAGTACTCTCATTGACAAGACAAACTGGTGAAAGGTCGTGATTCAGACACTTATCCTTTTTATCAACAAACCCTTACAATAGTCAGTATAATGTGAGTAAAAGTAGACGGTAATTGTGTATGCGTAACACACATTCATTCCGATCACTTGAGTTGAGGAATATTTATAACCGATTCACCATTTCTATCTATTGTCAATTAGTGTCTATCAATGTAAGCCTATCACAAATCTATGCTAGATCAAGTAACGTTAACATACCACATAAGCACGATATTAAATCAATGCAATGAATAGCGAAGGAGCCAAAATAATTTAGTAGCAATGATAACGAGGAAGAATAAACAATGATAGTATGGCTTGAGAAGACAGAAGTAAAAGGTGTATATGGATAACTTCTGAGAACGACGATTCAGAAGATAAATAGTGAATGTATCGGTACAAATACACCCAATTCTGAGCCCTGTCACCCAACGTCTGTAACCACTGATCGAGGTTGTGGCGCGGACCTAAATGAGATAGACTATATCTACTAAAACGGTTAATTCCAACAATCAATAACCTAATGGACTGTTACCATGTCATTAACAAAATAGAATCTAGCACGAATGTATATTAGTTCAAATTGCCACACATCAGATCACCATACCCGAAGAGGAACTAATTTCAATTACAATGAAAGTCTAAACATGAGAGGTACAGTTGGAAAGAGAAATATAACTCATTATTTGGAAAAACATGACGAATGAATGTAAGAGAGCTATTGTGGTTGATTTTAAATCATACTACTACTCAATCTCTTCAATTATTTATTACGTCACAAGTCCAAACAGGAGGTTCGCACTTATTGAAACAGCTCAGTGGTTAGCTAACTGCATACACTGATAATATCTTGTCTCTATTGATTACTCTACACCTAACATCAGTAGTAATACTCACTGGATGGTTTCACCACATTTAACCAATCCTGAAAAAGGTATATGTGATTAGATATAACAACCCATAAAACTATTCTTTGCCTTCTTCAAAGATCGTTTTCTATGGGCAACAAAATAATATGAACAATCAAAATGAGAATATGAAAATATCATCAAGTCAATATGTCCAAGTTAATAGACTAGTAACTGCTTAAAGAGTGCAAACAGACATCTGAATGGAGCGGTGGTTCAGTGATTAAAATGTCTGAAATTCAACTACTAAGTCAAGAGTTCGAACATTACATTACCTATTTTGATTTGAGCAACCGGATAGCGTTAGTAGCTTTCTTGCTCTGTATGACTCAAAGCCAAGTACACAAATATTTACAGAATGAATTGAGTTACTCCGACTTTTCACACTTTTTACTTTGTGTTAATAAACTCGTTTTTGGTTCAGATCTAATCATCGATCGACCAGTTGGATTACTGAGTGCAAGTCAACTTCAACGTAGGACCAGGCACATACATGCATCGGTCCAAGTTGCCATACCTCATTAGCACAACAAGATGAACACCAAATTCATAGAAGTAGTTGATTCAGTGGTGATAATATATAAAAGAAAGATTGTATATAAGGATATAGTACAGGAAGAAAGAATTAGTTGGTGGAACGAAGATATGAAGGGATTTTAATCTCATAGTTTAAGGGAAGACAAAGAGTGTATACACCTACGCCATTGTGATCGATTCTGAGCCATATATCACCCAGTCTCCAACCATTGGTTACGATAGTAACACCCCAACTGAGTGTAATCGTATCACATAATTAAATTAACGAAAACATTATAGCGTAACTTACTTTTGAGAATATGACCTGGTTGCAGATGAGCGACACATTCATCAACAGAACCTTTAATTGCACCGATTGTTTCTAGTAAACGTCCAAGTCCAGGTACACGAAATAAAAATCTGTCTACAACAGGAACAGGAAATCTGTAGAAATTCATAAATATACATAAACACATGAAATAAATTTTTAAAAACAAAAAAGGTTTAACAAGTTACAACATTATACACCTAGTCGATGAATTATATGTATATAAAATTGTGAAATTTAGTCACACAGCTAACTTAAGCCTTGAAGGCATTTTTGACTCTCTCTTCCCGTTGTGAGAAGGTAGTTCCACTGCAGATGTTAGTTGTCTGACGGAAACAACTTACTACTGTCACAGCCCTCTACAATCAGCAGTACAACTTCCCTCTCGGACCTTAAGTCGCTTCATTTAATCTTACCAACCTGCCCGATATGGTAAGATTTATTTATTTATTTAATATATAAACATTGGTATAATGAGGCATCAAACACATAAGCGCCGCACAAATCAAATGATTTTTGCGAGGGCCGTGATACCGCCCGGACACCCGAACCGAAGCAGGAGGTATGATAAGACCTGAGGGAACCAGTGTTCCAGGCAAAATGGATAAACTAAATACTCTTTATCAGGGAAACGAACAGCATCAAACATACAAACTACTTATAGAAGTATTGGATACCATTCAAAATCAATCATACAACAGTCGTAAAACAACAATAAACTTCTACAACACTATCAAACGTTATTTAACTCTAAAACTTCCACCTTCATGAAGAATCGAAGTCAAACAAACCGAAGAACCGAATCTCTCCTAACTATGGTTGAATTAGAACATTCTATATGTCGAATGAAAAACCATAAGGCCCCCGGCCACAATAGTATAACATCAGAAATGATTAAATTTGGAGGACTGAAATTAAAAACAATCCTACTGCAAATAATGGATAACATAGGGAAAAACCCCAGCGAAATCCCAATTCATTGGTCAGACACAGATGTCATCAGCATATACAAAAACAAAAGATCATGCAATAACTCCAACAACTATCGAAGTATATTCCTACTCGATACGATAGGAAAAGTATATGCTGGAATGATCGGCGAGAGACTAAAAGCTTTAACGGAACAAAACCTCCCTCCAAATCAATTCAGAGTTCGAAAACGTCTTCCGATTACACATGCAATCACAGCAATCAGACATAATACAAGGTGAATTATATACCAACCAAGAACTAATACTGACTTCCATTGACCTCACCAAAGCTTTCAACTTATTACCAAAGAAAATGATTCTAGATACATTACAAAACTGTGTCCCTCAAACAATATCAACCGAAGCATCACCCAGCTGTTAGGTGGACATAATGGTTACAAAAAAGGTACACAACTACACTTCACTATGTATAGAAGCGTACAAAAGGGAATTAAGGAGTCCCGCCTCTCTTCCATATCACCTTTCAAGAAATTCTAAATTCAACAACAGATAAGATACCAATCGGCCTTGACCTGGCCAACGAAAACAATACAACTCGAACATTATCGTGCATAGAATTTGCTGATGACCTACGTCAAATAAATACAGCCACTGAAGAAACGACCAAAACCCCCACTTCCCTCTAAAACCACCTTACAAAGCTACCAATAAAAATATCCTATGACAAAACCAAAGTCATGGTAATGAACTAACAAAGCAATGCACTTAAAATAGCCATCAACAACCATAAACTCGAAGAGGTAACTACATTCAACCATCTAGGATCAGTGCTAAGAAGGCGATGGAACTCCTGATGAAGCAATCCAAACCAACATTGGTAAAGCTAAAACAACATTTATCGAAATCAGACCAATACTATGCTGCACAAATATTAGCATACGAACAAAAATCAAGTTGATTTATTCTTTAATAACCCCTATATTAACCTATGGGTTTGAGCCTACAGTTCTACAGTGAACGGAGACTCAGATGGAGAAAACCAACTTATTGTTTTATGCATAATTACAAAATGCCTTCAAAAAACATGAAAACTATACATTAAATACTTCATTGTTTCTTTATTCCTGTTGTGATTTTGATTGCTTTTAGTTTCCTTATTTCTTCGCTTCATTTTAATCTCCTCAACCTCCTATTTGCAGGTATTTCACTTCTAGTTGGTGTTATATACTACTAAAGTCTGCAAACATAAGTAGCATACACCACATTCGTAAGGAAAAAAAGACTTGACCAGACTAAAAGCAGTCTTTAATACTCCTCATGGAATGATTTGGGGTATCAATGATAAAAGACAACTTACAGCTAATCAACTACACGATTGCATAGCCCTCCCGAACCTAGCACTGGAAATACTACAAAACAGGATGGAACTGTGGAGTGCAGCACATAAAAGACAAAATAGCTTAATGATTTGGTCTATAAACAGCCAAACAAATAATAAGACACAACAGAAGACCAGCATATAGTAAAAGCCAGCCACGACAATCAACACATGACCTGGACCGATTGGATGAAAAACTCCCTCAAAAATGGCTAACAAAACTAATAAATCTACGTGACTATAATCCGAAAATAGTTGGCAAACAAAACCTGATATAAAAATGCGGAGACAGTAACTGTAAGCAACTATTTGCTACAATAGGTATAACAGAAATGACCAGCGACGAGAAAAAAACAGACTTCATGCCTCAGGGGGAGTATAAATGTCCTCTAAGAGATTGTACAAAAACCAACAAAAATGAAGGATGGCTCAAAAGACACATCAACTCATGCCATTTCAAATCAAATCAACTAAACCAAAACCCTCAAGAAATATGAGCACCTAGAAGAACCGGAAATACAATATCAAGAATAAACAATGACCTAGATGAATATTCATATCCTGGACGCGACAAAAAATTGCCAACCTCAAAAGGAATTACCAATCATTGCTATGTGGTACATAGATGGTCTATCATCACTGGACAATAAGTAAAACCAGGAACACAAAAGTCTGCAAAAAGTGATGCGCCCCGGTAGTATCGCCCTGCTTCCATGAATGCCTTTTCTCAAGAAGAGCCTACTGGGTTCATCAACTATGTTTGACTTGGAGCGGCACGCTAGGGTATGGAACTACCAACATTATATCTAAATTTTACATATGAGGTCTGCCGATACTACTATTAGATTTTACAAACCGAAATAATTATTAGATTAGCATTCGAATAAATATAGTGTCCTAACTATTACCGTTCTATAGTCAATCATTATTAACGTAGAGCCTGCCACATATATACACCAGTTCAAGTTATCATATTCCATAGGAACAATGAGATGAAATTGCCAGGGTGAATCCATAAGTGGTAGATGTAGTTATAGAAAATATCAGGCATCGAAGATACGATTAGAGATAAAATAAATTAGTGGAATAAAATAAAACTTTATAGAGAATTAAAAAACCAAGGGACGATTCAAAGCCATATATCACCCAAAGCATCTAACCATTGGTTACAATAATCACATAGACTACAATTACATAGTATGCAACTACCCACATGGCTCAATCCAGTCGTCAGTGTCTTCATGAAGTAATGCCATATCTCGGTTTTGCAGTCGCTAACTTTCCCCCAACCTGCTCCTACATCAGCCATCATCGTGAGTTCAGGTGGAGGCACCAAATTTTACTTTAACACATAGATATTGTATTCCCCAAAAAGCCATAGGTTATACATACTTTCAAGCGATTCAGCAGACATATATATACAAGTTTTTGTGGAGATTAGTTTAATTTGTACATGATAAATGTCACGAATCGACCTCAGCTGATACTTCGAAGGAATGAATACCACCTACAAGTACTTACAGAATGTTCAAAATGGGTTCGATGAAGAGCATTCGACTTTTCAATCTCGTTGTCTTTAGTTCCAGATACACCTGAGTACTTGTAAGAGAATTCATATTATGAAACTAAAAATGCCAGCGTTTACAAATGAAAAACATTAGAATATATTTGACAAAATATTTTTAGCATAGAGTGCTTTTGGAAATTGAACTTTGTAATTAAACATTACTGACAGATATTAGTTAAACAACTGCTAAAAACCAGAAAGCACTAAACATTTGTCTCGTCCTATGACGGAGCTCAGCATTCCCCGCCACAACACCACTAAGGGTTGAACTCAATAAATTCGGAGGTCAAACGGAGCACTTAGCGTCATAATCGATGAGCTGAAACTTAATGATTTAAATTTCCAACTTCAAACAATGTTTAACAGCGCGAAGGTTGTATGTGATCACTATGTCATTTCCAACATGCCGGAACAGCAGCAGACACAAATTTCCGCTGGGACTCATCTCGAACTCAATTACATGTGAAGATAAGACTACAGTTCGGTTGATGGATTTAGTGAAGATTATCATAATTGATGGTTTTTGTCACTAGGTAGCTTTCAAAAGTCTCCTAAGTGGTTAAAGTTTTACTCTGATATGATGGTGTGGTGTAGCAACTTGATTCAACGCTCACACGTGACAGATTTTACGTTACATTTGGCTCGATGAACTGATTCCAATCCATGAGACAAAAGAAAACAAAACTTATAAGAGAAATTTCTTACCTATCTCTTTCAATACAATATCTCGATGTAAAATAATATGCATCAAATGGACATGTTCCATGATAATAAACTAAATAAGCTGGTCCATTTGGTGGTAATTTCTCCATACCAATTACTTCATAACCGTGAAATATACGTCCATGAGCATCCCATACAGCAGCAACAATACGACGTAATAATTCTGCTAGTGAATCTAAATATATGTGACTAGTAGATGATATAGATATTGATGGTGAAGTTGACGACTGTCTGAACTTGGACAATAAACGATTTAAATGACGACGTAACCAAAAACGTAAATGGTATAAATGAAGTAAAATGACAGTGAAATAAATAAAAAAGATTAATAAAAATGGAAGTAGAAAACATAAAAGAAGTGGATGACGTAACCAATAAACAAATGCGATGAAATATCCAGATCCAGGCAAACTAATAAGATAATCTAACCAACTGGATGGTATAATATTAGTTAATGTTTGATTACCAGTAAATAAATTGTATAATTGATAGAACAAATTCTGTTCATCCTGAGCTAGACAATAGGTGGAATGTAACCAGAAGGATAAATAAATGAGAAGACAAAAATTCATTTCTTTATAGATAAACAAAGAAAGTAAGGAAGTTATGAAACGAACTGTTCAATATTTTCTACTTTAAAAGTTGGAAGATAGATGGACAGGCAAAAGGGAGAGAGAAAGCATAACATTGGATATTATCAATGTATTGTCATTATCTACAATAAAATCGGTGAAAAATAAACACAAATTAGTTTCATTTGAGAAACCTTATAAGTCTTTACAGAATTTCAATAACAAGTCTGATATAAGCTGAAAAGTGATTTTAAAAAATGTAGCCCTTAAATGTCCTGATATGGCCGTGAGTGGGGAGAGTCAGATCTCCCTCTCCAAATGCTCTCACATGGCCACGCGTACACAGTTACTACCAGGGAAGTTCTATAAATTGCCTTCTAGCACCAGAGGTGTTGTTTACGCAATTAAGAGGACGAAAAGCGAATGTCCGACGCTTTAACCGGGTTGGTGGATTCACCTAAGGGAGTTGGGAAACCCTGATTCTAAACAAATGGTGCACATAGATTTCAGGATCCTGAAGAAAAAATGGCGTATGAACCAATTATTGGTCACCTGATACCATGGAACTGAATCTCCTGAAGTTGCTCCACTGCCTTATGAATCATACTTTTAGGTCGAAGGCTCTTGGGGTAGCGCCCTTAGAAAATCATCTGCTTCGGTCTGGGCATCCGGGTAGTGTCACAGTTAACACACAAATTACAATAGACAATCACTATCTTTGTACTGAGTCAATCATTCTAAATCACTAGATCGTTAACATAGATTTCAGGAATAAAAATTATACATATATATATATATATATATATATCATCTTGAACAATCGAAAGGCTATTTCACAAAATGAACAAGGAAAAGACACGTAAAATGTGTTGACAGTACAGGGAATGTTTGGTTAAATTTTTGTTTTTCTTTATAGGAGAAATTTATCAAACTGAAGCCTTCACGCTAACATTTAAATGATTAAAATGCAACCTATCAAATCAACTCAGTAAAAGAACTGCAAATATTTACGATACTTAGATAGTAGTCTTCATACTATATATATATTAAAGTTCTAGTTCACAGACGATTTGCCTACACTTATGTTGATGATGGAGTATCCCAATCTCCCTATTTCGAGGAAAATTTTGTCCGTTTCCAGGAAAGTTTGGGGAAGCCACAATAGTAAACTTTGGGGAAACGGCACAAAACCCCCAAACTTTCAGCAGGTTTGGGGAAAATCCCAAACATTTTGGAGAAATTCTGGATTTTCCCAAATATTCCCTCAGAAACTTATAACACTTTGGGGTTTTCCCCATAAATTTGTAGAAAACTACCAAACTTCTCACGAATTTTAGGAAAACCCAAAAATTTACCAAAGTTTCTCCTAAATAGGGAGATTAAGATAAAAACCGATTTCAGAGGACGATCTTCGACAACGACGATATATTGGGTGTACACACATTCTTTCAGCCCCCTTCGTTATGTGAAACAAAGGATAGGTAATGTCACATCACTCATGAATTTTGATACCACAAATTTACTTGGAGTGTACATAGCGACTTAGCGTACATCAGTCAGAAAGCACCCAATCAATCAACAAAGGGGAAACGCGCCAAAATGTCTACTTTTTACCTAATCGGGGAGAACAATGCGGATTTTACAGTTTATGTCGCTGAATTGTCTACTCTCGCCTAAACATACGCTAAATTGTCTACTTTTCGCCAAATACACGCCGATTTATCTAACTTAGATTCAACATTTAACACATATTCGGCATAACGCCAGACGTCCCCTATGTTCGCCTTTATTTCCATAACACACCACACAAAAACTGCAATCTACGTTAAAAACAGTACATATTTAAAGTTAATATCTAATTGCGTGGTAAGTACTTTCTCTGACTTTCAGCGTAAATGCCGTACACTAGACTTGATATCAGTGTGGAAAGCTTCAGAGTATCGATTGTTTCTTCGGTTTACTTACTAGAAAATCGAAAATTACATAATAGCGTTAAGGAATCCGTCAGAATTGATTTAAGACATTCTCAAGGAATACGAATAGTTATGGATCTGAAAACTTAGTTTGTTGCAGCACCTTCCCGGCGATTTCCGTGCACATGGACCTTGAAAGAGTTGTTCAGATTCCCTATTCGAGTCTTATATGAGACAAATTAAGAAATCAGTGAACAGAATGTATGCTGTTGCCAAGCAAGCAGCTCAAAGTTATGCGGAAAAAATGTGTTTCTGTAATAGGCTTCAAGCGAGCATTTCGACTAACAGTACCCCAATAACCGATAAAGGTGACTCACGCAAACAAGTAATTATGCATAAGAATATTAAAATAACTTCATTTTAGCCGGATAATGTTGTACTAGTACACGGAAAGCCTGGTTTGGTCACTGATGTAGAATCCGCCAGAAGGAACTTACGAAACTTTCTTAAGAAATACGAATGGTGTTGTGGGTCTGAAAACTTAGTTTACAATGTTCATTTGTTACAGTACCTTCCTGACGACGTTCGTGCACATGGACCTTTAGATAGTTTTCCAGCCTCTCCATTTGAGTCTTACATGAGACAAAGAAATCTGTGCATAGCGGGTATGCTGTTGCTAAACAAGCAGCTCAGAGTTATGCTGAGATGTCCTTCTGCGATAGGCTTCAGGTTAGCTGTCTAACTAATACTACCCCAATAGTCGCTAAAGAGGTCTCCAATAAACAAGTAATTATGTTTAACAATTGTAAATTAACTTCATTCAAGCCTGATAATGTTGTAGTAGTAAACGGACAACCTGGTTTAGTCGCTGATATAGGGGACGATGGACTACTAAAATTTAGGTCTTTCACTGACCCACGCAATTACTTCGAAGATCATTTCCCATCTAGTGATATAGGAATATTTATGTGCTCCGTAGTTAGCCATGAACACACATGGGTATCGGTTAAGGACATTGACTCTAAATGTATTGCCATTAGTTGTATCAATTATTTAGTTATAGTCCCATTGTTGTATACTTATGTGGATGTATTTTGCTTCATTTGTGCTTAATCCATGATAATAAACCATTTCATTACCTCTTATGTTACGTTTAGCCCGCTAACAAACAATACGTCATTGTTGACGTTCCTAGCAAGAAACAACTTATGATAGCAGCCAAGCAGTGGATTGTTGGCAAAAAACTTTGCCTTTTTCCAACAGAGCTGGTCGATATCCACCTGCAAAACTGCGACCGATCAGATGACAATTGGTCAGTTCTGAAATGTAAAGTAATTCACGAAATCGGTGAGTAACAAACATAGAAACTATAATTTACTATAGATTCTCTACAGTCTGCAAAAGATATGTCAGTTTCCCTCCAAATACTGGAGCTTCATCGTAAAAATACTTTATCGGAAGAAAACACCTTGCCACTCAACACTGAGAAGCCCAAGAGGTCAGTACAATAATCTTACTAACATTTCCTAGAGGTGCATTGAAGCGTAAAGAAGGATTTCTTTACAATTCCGTAGACATGGATGTTGCCGAGATGCAGGCTGAAAATAGCCACGTACAATATCCGAAATTTCGGTTGTTTGGCAAAGTTGCCTCGCCAATTTCCAAGTACGTTTCATTACCATTTAGATGTTAATGAAGTAGTTCGACACAATTAGATACATCACCGTCAACGTTAGAATCTAAGCATGTAGGCTGTGCTTCAGCGGCCCAGTAAGTCACCTGTACGATCACTTGAAGTTTATCAGATTTGATAGGTTGTATATAATGGTGCAGAACATGTCGTCAGCTATTATTGACTTGAGTACAAATGTAAAGCTGCTACTAGCGAAGTTCAGTGAACGCGAACATCCGCATCAATTTGACTGCGGACTATCAATTCAGCAGTTCCCTTTTATCATCTGAAGAGGAACTGTAGATGCTGGACACTGGTTTGCAGCAGAAAGAAACCAGGGACAGATTTTTAAGTCAACAACATTAATTATATAAGTTGTTTGTATTCCAGATGGCCATGGTAACGAGGTTAATGGATAATGATCATAAAACCTCAATGCGATATGTTTTGTTGTACCTCATGACACCTGCGGTTGCCAGTAATTTCACACTAGTTGGCACTCCTTCAAAACGAGCCGGTTTTACGGCTGTATACGAAGTAACCTAATAACTTATTTAAACTTCAGGTGCATTAACAAATCGCTTTTTGTCATCGTTTGTCAACAGAAAAGACCTGGCGAAACTGTACGATATCGCGACACAAGGTTATTTTCACGACGTCAGAGCGTAATAGGAAATAAGAATAGGTATGCACTAATTGAAAGTGATAACTTCCCTACTGCTTTATAGTCACAGTCAACAGTGTCAACGAACATAACCGTAAGTGAAGCTTCAAGTATCTGGCTGTGCCAAAGCATGTCATTCAGATATCGATGTAACTTCTTTAGTTCTTTACACTTCAGAATTCACAGGAAGATTATTTTAATTCTCAATCAGGATTAATCCGCGAAGTGTATTTTATGTTCTATTTATTTTTCAATAAACATTATTTTGTAAATGAGCCTACTTCATTATTTACATGGGAAAGTATTTAAGTGCTGAGAAATTGTTTGATTGTCAGTGAACTTGCGATTAAATAAACATGCCTTATTAATAATACATCACCTGTTTATTCTTTTGGAGATCTTTTCAAATAACAATGAATCGGCAATTACAATGAAAATGCATAACGATTGATGCTCAAGCTTCTGCTGTAGTGTTGTACAATAACACGCTTTTCCTTTTCAATAAATTTATTTAACCATATACCATTTTTCCCGTGGATTGCAGTTTTAGTGTGGTTTGTTGTGGGGATAAAGGCGAACATAGGAGACCCTTGAGGCTATGCCAATGGTGTTCTAAAAGTTGGAACAAAAGTAGACAATTCAGCCTAAATTTAAGCTAAAAGTAGACAATTCGACGTATATTTCGGTGAAAAAGACAATTCAGCGGATATTTAGGCGAAAAGTAGACAATCCAGCGACATTTGAGTGACAG